GGGGGCTATGTCTGTGCAAGGGTGGGTTGTATATTTGTGTGTGGTGCAGTGTGTAGGGGGTTATAGTTTGTGTGAGGGGATAGGGGGCAGATTAAAGATAAAAAAATTATTATTAAATAACTAAATAAATAAATATAGATAATGTCCCCCCCTCCCTTCTTACTTTTGCCGAGGGAGGGGGAGATACTGCTTTCTCTTCCAATCCCTGGTGGTTCTAGTGGAGAACGTGAACTCTAACCTGCAGCTCAGGCTAGAGTTCACTCTCGCGAGAACGGAGCGTTGCCATGGTAACCGCGGCAACGCTCCGTGATTGCGAGAGGAGAACCCGGCAGAGCTGCAGGTAAGAGCTCCCCCGGGTTCTCTCTCTCACTCCCTGCCCTGCCAGCCACCCAGCAATCTGCCTGTGGGCCGGGAAGGGAGATCGCTGATCTCCCCTCCGGTCCGTGATGGCAATCAGCAGGGCTGGTGATTGGATAGCACCAGCACTGCATGGGCCGGCAGGGGAGAGCCTCGGGCAGCTATATAAACTCGGGAGGGCAACTGCCCCGTTGCCCCCCCCCCGATCCGCCAATGTCCACAGTACATTGATTTAGCCCAGGTCTTCGAGAAAAGAGAGGCAAAAAAACTCTCTCCTCATCGCCCTTACGATTGTGTGATTGATTTACCCTTTCTGAGCATGAGAATAAGGTCATGGAAGAATATATCGAGGAGTCCCTAAGGAAAGGGTTTATCAGGCGATCCTCTTCTCCGGCAGGTGCTGGCTTTTTCTTCGTATCGAAGAAAGATGGTGATCTCAGACCCTGTATTGACTATAGGGTTCTGAACAAGATAATGGTGTGGAATGTTTATCCAATTCTGCTTATCATGGAAATATTTGACCGCTTAAAAGGTTCCAAGTGGTTTACTAAACTGGATCTCAGGGGGTCGTATAACCTGGTCAGGATAAGAGAACAAGACGAGTGGAAAACCACTTTCAACACTCACAGTGGCCACTATGAATATTTAGTGATGCCCATCGGCCTGTGTAATGCCCCTGCTGTCTTCCAGGACTTTATAAAAAATGTCTTCCGAGAATACAGGCACGTATGTGCTGTAATGTATCTGGATAACATATTGGTATAGTAGCCTGAATTGGAAACCCACCATAAACATGTCAGATCAGTACTAAAGAAACTGCTAGAAAACTGAAGGGTTATGGCCCGGAGGAGCATTCCTAGGTACCCGCCACTGATTTGAATGCCCCTAGTCTTGTTAGGGCCTTCCATGCTCATTTTCTCTTGAAGCCTTCGCCTTCCCGCTTCATATGATCATTATCCTTCAATAAGAAATTTTTTTGAATGATCAGTCATATTTTCAAAATGAATGCCAAAATTTGACAATTTCTGCCCGGGTATGCAAACTTTTGAGCACAGCTGTATACATGAGTTTTTTAAACCTTGGTGAATTAAACTGCTTTATAAGTAAAATCCCTGTAAGACAAAAATAAGGAAGAGTAGTGAAAAAATGATAGCAAAGTGCATTTTTTTATATTTCAATGGATTAAAACCACTGAAAGGTGAAGTAAATATCATTGATTATATTATTAAAATGGCACTTGCCAGGAAGTGGGATATATTAGCAACACGTCACTGCTTGAATTTAATGTGATGCAAGCAGTAATATTAGACAAGCAAAAAGATCTGAGTGAATTTGCCAAGGGACAAATAGTGATGCCTACGCGACTGGATCCAAGGATTTCCAAAACTAGTCTTGTGTGCTGTTCCTGGTAAACAGTGGTTAAAACCTACCAACGAGGTGTAAAGTAGGACAACTGGTGAACTAGCATGGGAACCTAGAGCTCACTGTCTGATTGATCACACAGAAGAGCTACTGAGCTAAATTTGCTGAAAACATAAAGCTGGCTATGATAGAAAGGTGTTAGAACACACAGTGCATCACAATTTGCTGTGCATGGGGTTGCATAGCTGCAGACCTGACAGCATGCCCATGATATCCCGTGTCCACCACTGAAAGTGCCTTCCACGAGGACATGAGAATCAGAACTAGACTACAAAGCAATGGAAGAAGGTTGCCTGGTCTGATGAATCACATTTTCTTTTAGATCAGGTGGATGGCCAGGTTCCTGATATCTTCCCATTGTTTACCGAGGGAAGATATGCACTACGGAAGAAGGCAGCCCAGCAGAGGCAGTATTATGCTCTGGGCAGTGTTCTGCTTGGAAACCTTGGGTCTTGACATTCATGTGGATATTATTTTGAAATGTACCATGTACCTAGAGATTGTTGCAGATCATATACACCTCTTCATGGCAATGGTGTTCCCTGATGGCAGTGACCTCTTTCAGCAGTGCCACACTGCAAAAAATGTTCAGTAGTTCAAGGTGTTACCTTGGCCTAAAAATATCCCCAGATCGCAATCAGACTCCACAAGACTCCACAAGACCTCTGTGGGATATGCTGGACCATAGCCCACCCATTTCAACTTGCAGGACTTAAAGGATCTGCTGCTAATGGCTCAGTGCCAGATACCACACAAGAAATTCAGAGGTCTTGTGGAGTCCATGCTTTGATGCCTCAGAGCTGTTCTGGCAGCATGAGGAAAAACTATGAGTAGAGTTGAGCGAACCCGGACTGTAAAGTTCGGGTTTGTACCGAACATTACGGTTTTTGGACCCCGGACCCAAACACGGACATATCACTGTATGTTCGGGTTGGAGTTCAGAGTTCAGCGATTTAATGGCGCATTTTGAAAGGCTGCAGGGCAGCCAATCAACAAGCGTTTGACTTGTGTGCCCTTAGAAGCCATCACAGCCATGCCTACTAATGGCCTGGCTGTGATTGGCCAGTGCAGCATGTGACCCAGCCTCTATATATAAGCTGGAGTTACATAGCGCTGCACGCACATGAGCTGTTATTAGTGTAGGGAGAGGATGCTGCCGCTGTTAGGGACAGATTAGGAAAGAATTCTGCAAACTAGTACATTAGTGGGGTGCACTTCATATCTGAAGTGTACTATTTAGCACCAAAAAAAATTGACTTTTTAAAACTCCGATATAACCGCAGTATTTGACACTTCTATTTGACTAATAGAAGTGTCAAATATTGCGGTTATATCGGAGTTTTAAAAAGTCAATTTTTTTGGGTGCTAAATAGTACACTAGTGGGGTGCACTTCATATCTGAGAGTCAAATAGAAGCATCAAATACTGCTGTCACATTACAGTTTTAAAACTTACAAATTTTGGGGTGCTAAATAGTACATTTGGGGTGTGCTTTTCATATCTGAGAGTCAAGTAGAAGCAGCAAATACTGCGCTTACAGCGCAGTTTGAAACATTATTATTTTCTGGGTGCTAATCTGCTAAATAGTAAATTTGGGGTGTGGTCTTCATATCTGAGAGTCAAATAGTGCTGTGACATAGCATTTTTAAACATTCAAATTGTTTGGCTGCTAAATAGTACATTTGCAGCCTGCGGTACACTTCATATCTGAGAGTCAAATAGAACTGTCAACTATTGTGCTTACATTACAGTCGTAAAAATTCTAATTCTTTAGGTGCTAAAAAGTCAATTTTATGCCTGCACATCATATCTGAGAGTCAAATAGAAGCGTCAAATACTGCGCTTGAAGCACAGTTTGAAACATTCTTATTTTCTGGGTGCTAATCTGCTAAATAGTAAATTTGGGGCGGGCTCTCCATATCTGAGAGTCAAATAGAAGCGTCAAATATTACGGTTGCAGTGCAGTTTGAAACATTCTTATTTTCTGGGTGCTAATCTGCTAAATAGTAAATTTGGGACGTGCTCTTCATATCTGAGAGTCAAAGAGAACCGTGAAATAGTGCTGTGACAGCATTTTTAAACATTCAAATTTTTTGGCTGCTAAATAGTACATTTGCGGCCTGCGGTGCACTTCATATCTGAGAGTCAAATAGAAGCGTCAAATATTGTGCTTACATTGCAGTTGTAAAAATTCGAATTCTTTAGGTAATAAAAAGTCAATTTGATGCCTGCACTTCATATCTGAAAGTCAAATCGAAGCGTCTAATAGTGTGCTTACAGCGCACTTGTAAACATTCTAATTGTTTTGCTGCCAATCTGCTAAATAGTACATTTTGGGGCCTACTCTTCATATCTGAGAGTCAAATAGAAGCGTCAAATAGTGCGGTTACAGCGCAGTTTGAAACATTCTTATTTTCTGGGTGCTAAACTGTTAAATAGTACATTTTGGGGCGTGCTCTTCATATCTGAGTCAAGTCGAAGCATAAATAAGTGCGCTTACAGCGCAGTTGTAAACATTCTAATTGTTTTGCTGCTAATCTGCTAAATAGTAAATTTGGGGCGTGCTCTTCATATCTGAGAGTCAAATAGAAGTTTCAAATAGTGCGATTACAGCGCAATTGTAAACATTCAAATTTTTTGGCTGCTAAACAGTAAATTTGCGGCCTGCGGTGCACTTCATATCTGAGAGTCAACTAGAACCATCAGATACTGTGTTTACAGCGCACTTTGACAAATTCCCTTATTTTTTTGCTCCTAAGAATTAAATTTGGGGTGTGCACTTCATATCTGACAATCAGATAGAACCGTCAAATTTTTTTTGGGTGCTAAATAGTACATTTGCAGCCTGCACTTCATATCTGACAGTCAAAAAGAACTGTCAAATACCAATATAACAATATTGTAATTCGGGGGCAATACCCTCACAAGTCAAACTGATAGGTCAGTTTATAGGGAAAACTGTTGCCTGGATACAATTCTAAAACAATTCCCATATGTCCTTTGCAGAGTTTACATGCTGGAAAAACACAGACCATGCCGGTTGTTGTGGTCGTGACCGAAATATGAATATTAATCTCTTAATACATAATAATTAAGCAATACGGAACAACATTAATATTTTTATAATTCATGGTATTATGGTCGAATATGTGGATAGAAAATACACAAAACGTTGTAATATTAAATGTATATTTAATATAACTATAATAAATAAACAGATGCTAGCGGAATGTCAATTTCAATAATTATACAATACAATACTACACAAAACACTATTGGTTGCTAAATATTATACAAAAGGCTATTACAATTGCTAACTGTTACAATACAAACATATTACTTACAAGGCCCCAGCCAAATGGCTGGGGCTAAGTCAGAGCTGGTACTACATGATCAGTCAGGTACAGGCAAACAGAGAGCTAGCTTCTCCTCACATCTGGGTTTTTATTCAGTGTAAGTAGGCTGGCCTGTGATGTCACTGCCAGAAGCACAGGTCTTCCTACACACTCCCCCTAATGGTGCCCCCAAAGCATTACACTAAATATGCTTTACTGACATCTAGTGGTGCGTCTAAAGCATTAAGCTCATTATGCTTTTTTATGACAAAAAGTCATTAATTAATAAATACCATTACAAACCACCCTTTGACTTATGTCATAAAACAAACATTATAAACCCGTACATCTTGAATCTACCCTATTTTAACAGTACCTGCCCTACAACAAAACCCACCTTTTTAAGAATGATACCCATTTACCCGTAAAGTTATGACACTTTATTGCTTATTCAATATTTTTTTTTTTTTTTTTCATTGAGCACATGCATCACCAGTTGGGAATAACCACTGAGCACATGCATTAGCAGTTGGGAAACCTTGGCCTTAAATAGGCAAATACCCACCCTTGTAATAATAGACAACTCAAACCATGTTTTATTAGATTAACCAATGATATTGTGTTCATGTGAGGATGTGTTTTGGAGCTTAATATAGTATTAGACACCACAAACTCATAACACCTATGAATCATGGCACAGACCGACTCGATTTCTGTAGCCTCTGGCTGGTCTGTGTGCCTGGAATTTTCACAAACATTAGGTCTGGAAACTGGATACTCTATTCTTCGACAGTCTCATAGAACATACGCATGGAGACAGGGATGAATGAAACAGTTCATGTGATCAAGGACTTTTGTGTGTTTGTGGTCACATTGTTTTGTTTTTTCTTTCTTTATTCCATTAACCACCTTGACGTAACAGTTTCCTGCTCCTGATGCATTTTGTTCCGACTCTCACCACTCTTAGCTGCAATATTTTTTCTCCTTACAGCAACAGTTGAGCATAGTGTCCAGTGCTTCTTCTTCTTCTGCTTAAAATATCCTTGCTTGAAAGTTCTTGAATGAAAACACAGGCAATGACGAACACAAACATAAATAATAACTGTGCCAATCATCACAAGTACCATTTGATTGTGGTGTCTTAACCATATTTTTTCCTATGGCGTTTGGATAAATACCTACACACCTCTCTTCACATCCAGCACACTCCTGATTCACAGATAAACACAATATCACTGCTGTATCTACCAATTTAACCCAAACACTCGTTATTACTGCTGCATTTACCAATTTAATCTAAACACTCGTTATCACTGCTGTATTTAACCAATTTAATCTAAACATTAACCAAAACAATTACATTCCTATTTACCACCCTTCTATTTAAACATGTATAGATAACCCAAAATGCCTACTTTCTCTTATCCCTCTTATCATTCTTCCGTTTTTTTTTTTGTTTTTGTTTTTGTACTGCAACCACTCATGCACTTTACACAGACACAAATCAAGCACCTACTGTACAATGGGGTTCCCTCGTTAGAGCCCTCGCACCCCAGTTTGGTTTACACAAAAATACCACCTGGTCCCTATGGGTCAATTCCCCCCTTTCCCAGGCAAGCATACATACATACATACATACAACAATAATACATAAGGGTTTCAATTGCAATACAATCACTAGAAATAAGAGAATAGTATGCACAAAATCATAGCATAGACGTGTTAAATAGACAATAAAACATTCAATAGCTCATCAAAGGTCAACATTTAAACACTGGTCTCCATCTGATATTCTATCTGTGTTCCAATGTCCACCTCTGGTTTCTGCTACATCTGAAAAGGTTAGGAAACAGATCAGGATTACTTTCCTAGTCACTTATAGCGTATACTGCAAATATTTTACTTAGAATATATATATATATATACACACAGACATGTAAACACATTCCTTCAGCTTTTCATTTTATAAACAATTTGTTCAACAAGGTAACTTTCTTAATTTTCTACTCGGCTCTTAAAATAAACAATCAGCTAATAGCTGCATTCTGCATCTTCCTTGCAATTCAGGAGTACACAACACTAAAAGTCCAATACTCAGTACCCCCTAGCCTAAATTCTCCACCCGCTACTGTAACTAAGTTTACAGCCCACGTTATGGCAGTTCACCCGCTAGGCAGATATGCTCAGCACCCCCTAGCCTAAGTTCCCCACCCGCTACTGTAACTAAGTTTACAGCCCACGTTATGGCAGTTCACCCGCTAGGCAGATATGCTCTGTACCCCCTAGCCTAAGTTCCCCACCCGCTACTGTAACTAGATTTACAGCCCACGTTATGGCAGTTCACCCGCTAGGCAGATATGCTCAGTACCCCCTAGCCTAAGTTCCCCACCCGCTACTGTAACTAAGTTTACAGCCCACGTTATGGCAGTTCACCCGCTAGGCAGATACACAATACACCCACGTATTACTTATTTTATATTTCCTGGTCTCTCAGGGATATACAATAGCTAATCCCCTTCCCAGGGCAATATAAAACTGACACAAACTTTTAAGCAATACAGGATTTCAAATGGACTTATGAGTAACAAATTTCTAGCCAACTTAAACATGTTTAATAACTTTCCACCCTTTGGTTAAATTATAGAGGAGTGAACCACAACACCTCTTCCGCCTCTGAAAGGATATAGGTCAATATGTCTCAAAGTTCAACACTTCTGACAGCTATGAGTGACTCCCTATTAATTTCTAGCCTTTCCACGGACATGCTTGCACCTCGCGGCTAAGGGCCTGCACAACTAACCACCCTGTGATGGCAGTGGCTTTCCGCATGGGGGTGACCGCCCCCGCAAAATTATAGAGCAGCCTCTTTTCCGGCTCGATTAAAGGTTCTGGGCCAATATGTCTGCAATTTAACCAGTACACTCACGTATCACTTATTGTATATTTCCTGGTCTCTCAGGAATTTCTATTAGATAGCGTATCCCCTTCCCAGGGCAATATACAACAAAAACTAGTCACCAAGGGTCTCTATGGTCATGATAGGCCACCCTACCACTAGTGTAATACGCCCTTTTTTTAAATATATTTCCTGGTCTCTCAGAGATTTTGCCTATCCCTTTCCCAGAGCAATATATATAAACAATTACAAATAAGTTACAAAACGCTACTTATAAGTAATACAGGGTTTCAAATAATAATAATACAGGATAGAACTGCACAACAACTATTGGGTATGCTCCCCCTTATCCGGACACGTTTAAATACCCCCTAGCTCAGGTTCCCCACCCGCTACTGTAACTAAAATCACAGCCCACGTTATGGAGGTTCACCCGCTAGGCAGATACACCCTAATTCAAAGCATGGAAATATTAAAATCAGTTATAGATGGCTTCTAAAATAATATAAATCTTAATCTGAGCCCCTACACTTACTTTGTTAAAAATGCTAACTTGTTAAAATATTCAGACTAAATAGGACAAAGGAATTATTTTACCATTTTTCAGTTCATTTGTTACCAGTTCCTGCATATGTCCAGTAATTCCTTAGTCCTGAATAATAAAACTGAAAAACACTCCACAAATTGATTAGTTTAGGCAATTACATTTACAAAACAATGCAGTTTATTTTTTTTTCTCATACAGGCAAGACTACCCACCCCCAACAAGGACAAATTCTCCCCCAGCTGTAGCTGAAAAGCATGGTCACACAGCTGTTAAAAAGGTGGTCTCTCCTTCATGAGTCAAAAACATATATATTTATACTAATATTCTGTGTATACGCACACATAAATCTATTATTCACTGAATCTGCTTTACTAAACGTATCTTTTTCTTAACTACTAATTTAATACATTTTGTCCAAATCTCTTTTCAACTAGACAAATCCATGAATGCCAAACAAATGTAAATTAGTACACAAACAGGGTCAAATTTTGCAATAAAACCTGGTGAACTAGTTTAGTGAAAAGTCTTTTCCTATGCAAATGGTAGCAAACAATGAAACTAGGCCTCAACTCATTCACACCATGTGGTCAATGGTGGATTAAAATCCACATGGTCAGACAAAAAGTAAAATTGTTTTTTGTTTTATATATAAAAATGACAAAAGGTTGGTAAAACGTAACAAGCAACACAATAATTCATCACTATGTTCTACAACAAGAGATATCTTAAAAAACAAATATCTAATCCCTATCTGCTATCTGCATTCATTCCATTAAAACCAAATCATCATTCATTTATTCATTTGTATACAGACAGACAATTTACAGTATGATTTAAGCAAAATGCATAACATTTATATTTTCCCCAATATTCAAGCATAATCCTGCCGACTACGCCAAATGTTGTGGTCGTGACCTAAATATGAATATTAATCTCTTAATACATAATAATTAAGCAATACGGAACAACATTAATATTTTTATAATTCATGGTATTATGGTCGAATATGTGGATAGAAAATACACAAAACGTTGTAATATTAAATGTATATTTAATATAACTATAATAAATAAACAGATGCTATCGGAATGTCAATTTCAATAATTATACAATACAATACTACACAAAACACTATTGGTTGCTAAATATTATACAAAAGGCTATTACAATTGCTAACTGTTACAATACAAACATATTACTTACAAGGCCCCAGCCAAATGGCTGGGGCTAAGTCAGAGCTGGTACTACATGATCAGTCAGGTACAGGCAAACAGAGCTAGCTTCTCCTCACATCTGGGTTTTTATTCAGTGTAAGTAGGCTGGCCTGTGATGTCACTGCCAGAAGCACAGGTCTTCCTACACACTCCCCCTAATGGTGCCCCCAAAGCATTACACTAAATATGCTTTACTGACATCTAGTGGTGCGTCTAAAGCATTAAGCTCATTATGCTTTTTTTTATGACAAAAAGTCATTAATTAATAAATACCATTACACCAGTCCGCACACTGCAGAAAGCCAAAGCAGTTTGCTGTGGCTTTCTGCAGTGTGCAGACCGGCATGGAGGGCAGGGTTGAGGAGTGGGTGGAAGATGATGTGGAGGATGATGAGGTCCTAGACCCCACATGGAATCAAGGTCATGCGAGTGACGTGTGCAGTTTGGAGGAAACAGTTGAAGTGATAAAAAGAACCATAACCGATTTAACGATCCATTCACAGTTTCGCAGTCTGGTCGCACAGAGGCACCAGCACAGCATAAGAGGGAGCAGGGTGCAAAA